GAGGGAAACAGTGTTGCTAACCACTCTAAACAGACCCTGAAGAATACTTCTGTACCTGGTAAGATAACTCTTTATTATGATATTTTACGCCATTAATATTTTGTTAACTTCTTCTATAAACATCCAATTTCACTGGACATTCTTTAAATGATTTAAAAAAAAAAAGTTTTTATTTTGGAAGGAGGAATAATTCTGAGTTCTTTTTTTGTTTCATTTTTACCAGAATTAAGAAACATATAAGTACTGAGTATTGCTTTGTTTTATTAGGAGAGAAAGTAAAAGGTTTAGTTTTCTGTGAAGCTCCAGGACCAGCTCTTTCTCTGGCCACATTCACAGACATGGGGGCAATCCACGTCTACAAGTCAGTAGTGTTTTTTTTATAATATTATTGTAAGACACAAAATAATTGGTTCTATGATTGATTTTCTTTGTTTTTACAGGATCGAGACTGGGAAGGCCACTTGGAACAAAGCTCTTAATGTAGACAAATCCGACTATGGAAATATTGTAGACCTCACATACTTTGATACAGGTACCTCATTATACAAATATCATATCTATATTTATTTAGATATATTATGAAATTGGCAATTTTATATACAGTGTATAGGGAAAAAGAACTAAGATAATAGGAGATTAGAATAAAAATGTTAAATGTTGTCCATTAGTTCCTTTATTAAGATATGATGCAATGAAAGGATGACTTGTGTATTAGTTATTAAAGTGTTCTGTTCTGTTACAGGAGCCCAGTCTGTGTTATCGTATGCCACAGTCAATGGGTTCCTAGTGGGCCATGATCTTCGCTCTAACAAGGAGGTATGGAAGCTCAGAAATGACCCAAAATCAGGTAAAAAGCAATCAAGTCTTACATGGGGCAGAAAGCTGATAAAAGGAAGTAACTTTTGCTTTGAGAAAAATTATCAATGTAATCATTCCAGTAAATTAGGTTAAGATTTTGAAAGATAAAGTCATATCTGAAATGTTAATGTTTGAACCAGATCACAGTTATGTTGATATTAAACTTAATCATTATACCAGATTTTAACATGTTTATGCACTAGAAAGTAGCTGCTTTCCTTCTAAGGGTAAACTTTTGTAGGCTTGATCACCTCTTTTGCTGTACACCATTCCCAGTGTTGGTTGGCTGTGGGGACCAGTAGTGGGACACATGTCTGTTGGGACATGAGATTTCAGCTTCCTATCAACTCAATAGTCCATCCCACAGGTATGGATGGCAGGGATGGGCACGATTACTGAAAAATGTAATCGATTAATAATCGATTACTTAGAGGAATTTTGTGTAATTGATTATTAATCGATTACACTCATTTTTGTCCTGTAATCGATTGTAATCGATTACTTTGGAAGATGTAATCGATTAATAATCGATTACTCCCAAGTTTTTATCCCTTTGAATATCAAAGCAATATTTAAATGGTAATGTTGATGATATCCACTGAAGTTAGAATGTGTTCCTGCAGTTTCAGTGCAGATTCTTTTAAGGTTTTATTCTGGCTAACATTCTCACTAAATGCCCAAATGAGGGATTCTGTACGATGAAAAGTGGAGACATGATTCCTACAATAAAATATGTCAAGGAATTAATTATTCCTCTCAACCTTGGATCTGAACCTCCATATTCAGATTTGACTTGTTGCAAAAATTATTTATTGTAAAATAATTTTATTGTGAATAACTTCATTAGAAGTATTTGGGCTGCCCGTATGTTGACAGTACACATTAAACATTCTTGTGTCTTCTTTAAAAAAAATAAGTAAATTAGAACTCTTAGTAATAAACATGTAAATCAAATGTGTCTTTAAGTAATTAAACTAATAGCACAATTTCATTCTGTATTGAAATAAGTGTTTTTAGAGCTATTAATTGTTTTAATAATATTGTTTGTCTTCAATAGAACTATGAATAATAAAAGTTAAAACTAGGTAGTTCACAGTTTACACCTCATTATCTGCAAGTCAGGGATGTCTCAGTCAATTAATTAGCCAAGATTAGCAAACACAGTGACACTTACCCCCTCTCTTACAGACACTTATAACCCCTCACTGATACAAAAGAAACCTTACAATTTTGAATGAAAACATGAGAATGATTTTGCGAATTTTAAAGTTACTAAAACAACAAGTTTGAAGTTGTTTAAACATTTTCAGATATGAATAAGTATTTCCATCTTCTTATTTTCGAGTACAATGTACTTTATTTACCAAATCATTTATATTTAATACAGCACTTAAATCTGTTTTTGCTATTTATAATTTTCTATTACAACCACAAAGTTTTTCAATATTTGAAATATGAAGGACATGCAGCAAGAGGACTATGGGTCAAATGTAAAATGCATACAGAAAATCTACATGTATATATTTTATTAATAAATAGTTGAAATACACTTCTGAATTATTTAATACTAGACCAGTAGGTCTATAATGCAAATTTTATTGAGAACATTATTAAACTTATGATAATAAAAGTTAGGTAATCCAAACATTACACTAGGTTGTTTATATTTGATATTTGTGTGTGAATGACAGGAAATAATTCTCCAAAATAACATCCATTTACGCATAAAATAATCGAAAGTAATCGAAAAAGTAATTATAATTACATTGAAAATTTTAGCTGTAATCGATTAAATTACGATTACAAGTAATTGAAAATCTCTTCGATTACAGATTACTGTCGATTACTTGAAAAAAAGTAATCATTACAATCGATTACGATCACTCGATTACGATAACCCCATCCCTGATGGATGGATGTGTCTTTCATTATTTTTGAAAAAAAAAACTGCCTTTCATTATCACTAAATTTCAGTGGCATAATGATTTATTGATAACTATTTTGCTATGGTCAGGTGCTCGAGTAAGGAGATTGATCATGCACCCCCAGGAACAGTCTTGGTTGATCTCAGCCACCCAGGGAAATAATGAGGTGTCCATTTGGGATGTAGAAACAGGGGCCAGACAAAAAGCCCTGTGGGCAAGTCCAACACCCACACTTAGTCTTAATCAGGTCAGTATTAATGGGTCAATATCAGTGTATTTTTTGAACTGGTCACATGAAAACCTATAAGAAACCTTTAATATCAAATTAAGTAGAATAGTCTGGCTTTAGAGTCAAGAGGGAAAGTATCCTATTTTTCTACTTTGTGTCATTATCCCACTTTTACCATCCTGGTATTATATCTCAGTTTTCCTTTCATCAGATTTTTTTCTGAGAGCAGAACCATGGATTTGGATTGGATGTTTTCCTCTTGAAGGACCTTTTTTTCTATTGTGCATGACTATTTTGTAGGCTAGTCACCATTCTGTGTATGGGTTACATATTGCTGTGACAGACACCAATGTGTTCATGCTGACTGGTGGGTCAGACATGAGAGCTCGATTCTGGGACATTTCCTATCCTGCCAACTCTTTTATCCTGGCAGGGGCGGCCAGTGACCCTGTACAACAGACAGGGGTGAACTACAGGTTTGTTGGGTTTTTTTCTATACGATCCTGTCATGTATTTTGATTGCAAGATTTCAAATGTCTTAAAACTGGCAATCAGCATTTCTTTTTTCCCCATTTTTGTAAATTTCACATCCTTTTGTTTAAAAAGATTGTGCTTTAACAAAGCTTCTTCAACTAAACATATTAAAAATTTTCATCTTTTTCTTGAAAAATTAGAGCAAGACTTGTAGACGGGGTGGAAGTAATTCAGGAATTCTACACAAAGAAACCAGTAACTAGTGAAGATAATCCTCGGAGGGGCCCGGAGGCCCCACCACAGGGGCATCGTGATATCATTAGTGACATTAACCTATGTCAGACCTCTCAGTGTCTGGTGATCACTGGCTCCAGGGACGGAGTCGTCAAAGTGTGGAAGTGATCCAACATTGAACAATGTGCTCTTTATTCCGCAGTACCTAATCTGTGATTCTCTAAACAACATGTGAGTTGTAAGAGAGGACTGTGGACCTGTTAATCAAAACTTAAAGACAATGATTATGAAAACTAGTCCTTTTATTGTGATAATTTATCATAGAAGGAAAAACTACACATTAAGTTGGCCATACTGGCAAGATTGTGCAATACTTGTTACATAAAGAAATACATGTACATGTATTTTTATTGCTTCAATTTATTGATTGTTTATACATATGATATGCATGTGTGAACATGTATATACTGAAAAAAAATTGTACTTTTCAAGACATTCTTAAGTTTTATGCAGATTTTTGATTCAAACTTCAGCTTCTCTCTGTCTGTGAATTTCAAAATGCTACTTTTCCAAGTTTTCAAGATACGTAATTCTGATTACTGTAAAACTCATTTGGGATATGCAGGAAAATTGTTAACAATTTCTTGTAAAATTTTATGGCTATAACAAATTCTGATATAGTGCATTTACGGATTTAGCAAATTGATTGTGTCCAGAACTCCAGATGAAGTTAAAAGTAATGAAATTTACATTTTTTATAACGATTGTTTTTGTTTTTTTTTCCCAAGAAAAGTGCTGAGTAAAGGTCTAAATTTGAAGCCCTTCACTGGTATATGGTGAGGTCTCTATATGAGTGAAAAATTTTCAAATGGGACATAAAACTACATACAGGCAATCAAGTGGAGATTACTTCCAAGATTTGTCAAGTGTTCTTACTTTTCACTGGCAATTCATATGCAGAGAAACAATATAAATACACATACACCAACCTATTTCAAGTTCATGCCAGTAGAGCTACAGTCTCATCACAGACTTATGGTTCATTACCTACAAGCTCTGTAGTATGAAGATATCCTTTAAGAAGAAGTTGATTAACATACAGAGAACTAGCTGCAGAGGCATAGCTAATGTCTGAAAGAAATTGGATAGACGACCTGTACATTCATCACAATTTTTTCAGACCAGTGAGCTACAGATCTTCAGTTAATAAGATAATTAAATCAGTTATTAATTCTGTGTTTCCAATGTTGAAAAGAACAATAATGATTGAGAGAAATGAATGTGTTATAATAATAATTTATTAAAAATTTATGTAAGGCATAACAGAAAGAAAGGTATACTGCTAATATACCACATTCAGCACAAAGACACAACTCATCCAATCTTAATGTGGCAACAAAAAAAAATCTCCGTTTCTCCAGTGATGCACTGAAGTCACAGTCAAACTCGGACAGCTTATTGTTATAAATGCAGTGTTCAGTCATAAATGAAGCATCTTTAGTTTAGATATATCACATAGGTATCACAGATGTTTAATAAAACTGTATAAATATGATATACTCTACAAGTAAATAAAATCTTGTTATCTCCATCATATTTGGCACAATAAAATAATAATGAAAACAGCTGTAGGGCACTCAAATGTGTCCTAATATGACATCAATTTCTGTAAGATTTAGGACTAATGATCAAAATTAGGAATAGAAAAACAACTGTAAACCACCATTTTTTTTCAATTGTGAACCTTGAAAGTTAAAACAAGCGTAGTATTGACAAAGACCGGTCAAGGTGTTCCTGCTACATGTATCAAGAGAATTTAAAAAGTTTGACTACATCTAACTCTTGGGGGGGGGGGGGGAACCTATGAAGAAAAGATCATGAAAAAAGACAAAGAAAACTTTATGAAGGTAGGGAGAGAAAAATATTAAAATAATTAAACTTGTAATATTTAACATGTTTAAGTTAAACTACTGGGATTTAAATGGCTTTTTTGAGTATCTGTAATTAAACACTAATGTTGATAATAAATATTAGTGAAAAGATAGTCTTGTTCTTTAAGAAAAATGATAAAGCTAGCAGATGAGGTGATTCATTTTCTACAGCTAATCTGAATATCCCTGCTCTTTGTAAATACATGCATAAAAAAAATTAAAAGTGCTGCACTTAAGCTTGTGTGGGTACATTTCAAGTAATTAAAGTAAGCTCTTTAAAATCCCTAGGTACCCTGTGTTATAATATCACAGATACTTTGTATGCATTGACTGTTGTGATAGACTAGGTTGTTTCCCTTGTTTTATTCTCTCACTAGATGTCACCCCCAGCTGTACTTGGAATAGCGTAGTAGTCAATTCCCCCTGTCCGGTTTGTCCCTGTCCCTGCTTCGTCGGACTGCAGACCTTGCTTCATTTCTTCCCATGAATCCACTTCTAGAGCTTGTTAGAGTCAGTGTTGCTATTGTTTTAGGGCCAGGTTCTGATATTGTAACGGAGGGAACAGTCATTAGTTTGGCACTGTTGGAGCTTGGATGTGAATTTGCAGTAGATAACGCATTAGATCCTGTCACATTAAGAGATCTAGTAGTGGCTGTGTTGAGATACACAGCAGAACCTTGAGTTTTTCCTAATGAGCTAGTGAGATTATAAGGATTTGAACTCAAGCCTCCAGGCATCGAAAGTTTACCACTGGTTTCTTTGGATGAGCGAAGAGATTGAGAGTTTGAATTATGGCGAGCACTTTTATTTCCATTGTTTGTAATAAGAGGAAAATTTGATACATTTTTTGTTGGTATGAGGTTTGTGCTGGTAGTGCTAGTCATTATAACGTAAGGGTGTGCTGGTTTTGGTGTGATTTCAGTTGGTCCTGGTTTTGAGGTGGTTGCTGAAGAGTTGGTGTCACCAGGACTAGGTTTTGTGATGGAGCTCACAGTAGAGGTAGCAGGTACAGAAGTGATGTTAACAGACAACCGGCCTACAAATGGTTTTGCTTTGCTGGTAGAAGTGGTTGTAGTGGTCTTGGTGGTAGAACTGACTACAGCGTCAGCAGCACTTGACTTTTCTTCAGACATTGTTGTCTTTTGTTTTTCAGGAGGAGAAAGGTTCAGTACAACACCTTCTGAGCTCTTGGCTACAGATTGTGCCTTTTCCTTCAGGTTACTGTCCTCCTTTTTCAGTTTTTCATCTTCTTCTGTTTGTTTCTCATCACCATGGATCATTCTCAATGTTGCTGACTCATCCAGTTTATGAGAGGTCTGGCCTAAGAGATTCCCAGCCTCTGCCAGCAGGGTAGAGGAAGAAAATGATACCATATCTGATAGCTTGGCATTGGGGTTAGACACCCTGTGAACATCCATAACAACTGGTTGCTTTTTAACAGTGGAGTCTTTTTCTTTTTCACTGTTTTTGTCAGTGGATGACTTTTCAGTAGCTAGTGCTGGCTTAGGAGTGGAGACAACCGGTGGAGCAGACACAACTGGAGTACTGGTTGTGCTCAACCGGTGGAGAGATCGTGGTGCAGTTGGAACAGCAGTGTTTGGAATGGAAGCACGCTTTTCTTGTGGTGTGTTGTCTTTTGTTGGTGATACACTGCGGCTAGGCCTGGAAGGCATATTGTATGGCCGAGAACCACAGTAAAGTATAGAAAAATTCCTTAATGAATTCAAAGGCAGTAGTTGCTGGTTTTTGCGTGTTTTTTCAAAGCATTCAATGGTCACATCTATAAAACAAATGAAAAATAGATTCATTGTTGATTAATTTGATACAAAAATTTCTCTAAACTCTAACAGATTAAATTAGATTTATTATTAAATTATAACGTACAGAGGGTCTCTTCTACCACTCCGGGAATCACCTCCTTCAGAGCCTCACAATTACAGTGGAGAGCTGGGTTAACATTGATCTCAATCAGGTAAATCTGCAAAAAGTAGGCATTTAAGTGTTTCCAGCATTTCATGATGTTTGCTTTATTAAAATTTTAGGAAGCCTGTGGATGCCAGGTGAGAAAATATCTGGTGGCTACCACACAAGTTTCAGATGGCCACTACATGATTAACTAGCATCTGACATATATAATATCTGGACTGTGGTGGCTGCCAAATACATGTATTCATATGATGGTCTCTAGATCACCTGGGACCTACTGGCTTCCATCCAGATAAACTGTTTTTCTCACCTGGCACCCACCAGCTTCTATCCGAAGGAATTAAAAAAAATCACTCTTCTATTTTTTTTTTAAAAATGTAGCAGTGTTATTTAAATAACAACTCATGGATCTGAATAAATTGCATTTATCTACACATTTGAGGTTCAATATATATATTTACTCTGATGCTTTACAGACTAATTTGCCATAATTCTTGTTTTACAGGGTATTCTTACTTTGAAGTCTGTGTCTACCATAAAGTCTAGTCCAAAAAGGTCAAAGAATCCCACTCTGGACTGGAGTTTGTGCTTGACACTGTTAAAGCAGTGGATCATGATCTTCTGCATTTGTTTCTGAAGGAAAAAAATTATATATCCATTACTTCCAATTGTGAGTAACAATTAGTTACATGTATTATCTTCATGGGTGGTGGTGTTCAGTCTCAAGAGATAAAAATAACTTTTTATGCTTATAATAAAAGTTTATCAGATTTTATGTCTAAAATGCTGTATTGCAACATGTTTGAGGACTGTCTGGTTTTAGTTATAGTAAGGGTGTAGTAATCTGGTTGTTGAGGTGTACTTACAGTGAGAGTGTTGTAGTTGGGTTGTTTAGGTGTACTTACAGTTAGGTTGTTGAATTGTGGTTGTTTAGGTGTATTTACAGTAAAGGTGTTGTAGTGTGGTTGTTGAGGCGTACTAACAGTAAGCATGATGTAGTATTGTTGAGGTGTACTTACAGTAAAGGTGTTGTAGTGTGGTTGTGATGTGTGCTTACAGTATGGATGTTGTTGTGTGGTTGTTGAGGTGTACTTACAGTAAAGGTGTTGTTGTGTGGTTGTTGAGGTGTACTTACAGTAAAGGTGTTGTTGTGTGGTTGTTGAGGTGTACATACAGTAAGGGTGTTGTTGTGTGGTTGTTGAGGTGTACTTACAGTAAGAGTGTTGCAGTGTGGTTGTCGAGGTGTACTTACAGTAAAGGTGTTGTTGTGTGGTTGTTGAGGTGTACTTACAGTAAGGGTGTTGTAGAGTGGTTGTTTAGGTGTACTTACAGTAAGGGTGTTGTAGACCCAGTCCTGCTCCAGATCTTTGTGAGGGGCTATGTTCTCATTAATGTACTGGTTAAACTTGTCCATGCTCCATGCTGTATCCTCCTTAATGTCTTTGTAATTAGGGTCCTTCTTCTGCACAAACTACATGTAATTAGAGAAGAAAATAGACTTCTTAACATTATATATTTAACTGATAACACCAATTCAGGATACTCTAAACCAACTTTTCATTCACGTGCGAGAAATATTCACAAGTTTCACGATCTACTTTAACTCGCGAATATTAATCACCGCAAACCGTTTATTTTGCTTTGTATTTGTAGAGAATGTTTCCTCAGTCGCAAAAATTAATCTTCGTGGATTGATTTCAAACTGACAAATCGCGAATAAAAGTTGACATGAATAATAGTTGGTTTACAGTATGTGTATTAAGAAAGTTATTTCTCAAACTTTGGCCAAGTTAAGGTGCTGATTGTCAAAAGAGTGGCAGCAATGGTGATAAGCATATGAAAGGTTTCAATTATGTACCTTGTTAATGAGGTGAATTATTTACCTGGTTAGTGAGATGTGTAGACAACTCTTTGGAGTCTTCATTGTATTTATTACAACACAGTCTCACATAACCTTTGTGATATAGCACCAAATACGGGGTTGTACTGGCAATCAGCATGTATGCACGGATGTCAAACTTTCTCTCAGTCAGAAGCAATGGATTGGTTATATACCTATTCAATGCAGAAAAAATGTAAGCAACATAAAATAAATGGAAAGACTTGAAGAAAAATGAAGAAAATTTCATATCATTAGAATTCAATTTCAACACCTTTTTTAAAGAAATATTATGTTATTTCTAAAGAATCTTGGAAACTTTAAAGTCAAGTACAATATTTCTATACATTTTATTACTATCGATTTTCCCTCATAATAACTAAATTGTATTATTGTCTGTGTGCATTATTATGAGTTATCTCCCTTACTTTTGAACAATACGGGTCATCATGGTTTTTGAGGACTTGGCCAGCTGTTCTCGTCTCTGTTCTCGCTCCTCTATCAGCTTGTTAACCTCCTCCCGACTCCTGATGATAAAAATACCCTTCCCCTGATTCATACCTGTAGGCTTACAGATCCAAAGCTCTGGGTCTGAAATGTTAATATTCTCTAAGTGATAGATGTTCAATTGTGTTAAGATACTGTAGATTCCTTATTTTACGCGAGCACTTAATATCGTGAAATGGCCCAAGGGCTTCAAATCGCGAGAACAATAATTCGCGAATGGGTGATTTATCTAGAGATTTTACATACATTAAAGCACCATAAGAATAAAAGCGAGTACTTTTATTTCGCGAGTGGTGCTTCTCGCGTAATTACGCCATGATTTATTCCTTGCGTATATTTAGGAATCTACAGTAGTCAATAAATGATAGAAAAGTTAATAAAACTATTCAAATAACAATTGCCCTTTAGTCAAGGAACATAAAACAATACATTAATGGAAAGAACACACTTTAACATAAAGGAATTCTCTATCATTTTCAGAGAATCAGATTCTAGAAATATTTTTTCAGGTGGCACACCTTTATAACGTTCCAAGAACACTTCTCTGTCATGCTTTTCATCAAATCTGTAAGTCTCAGGAACGAAGTCAGTGAACCGTAACCTTGGAGGTCGACCTTTGGTACTCATAGTAACTCTCTCGTACTCCTGAAGACTGTTGAGTAGTCCAAGTTTATTGGTCAGAAGGTTTCCATTAGGGATATGATTAACCAATTGTTCTCCTGAAACCAATGCAATGTTGATGAATATGAGTTGTATATAAAAACTATTTAAAAAGATGCATATACACTATTTTTCAAAAAAAAGAAGAAAAGAAAAAAAAAGATATGTATTTTTGTATAATCATAAAATTTTGCTTAGATTGATTTACTGATTGTATGTTGTTTTACGTCCCATTCGAGAATTTTCACTCATATAGAGACATCACCATATACCAGTGAACGGCTTCAAATTTTGACCTTCTATGCACTCAGGGCCATTGAGCAGTGATGGATCTTTATCATGCCAACACCTGCCATGACACGGGGCCTCAGTTTTTAAGGTCTCATCCAAAGGACCTGAACTTTCACTCTAAAGTGCCAAGCGCATGGCGAAGGAACAGTTGCTACCTATTTTTTATTGACTTGGGTCAGTCGCAGCCGAGATTCGAACTCACAACCTTCCGATCACGGAGCAAGCACTCTACTGACTGAGCTACTGTGACGGTACTTTTGCTTAGAATCTGTTCTTTAAAAATTTGATAACTTAATGCCAGTGTATTCATTAAATTTTCATGAAAAACTTTATTGCATTTTTATAACCATTTAAGATTCTGCATCTGAAATTTTGAATTTTATACACATGTACAGATGTCTTCCTTCAGTAAGTTTACAATTGTCATGTCATTACCAGTGACAGTCTACAGTTTCTCAATTTCACTTTACAGCACTGATTAAGCATTTATCATTTAAACTTGGAACATTTATTGACATAGTTGATTAGATCCATTGTGAAAGCGTTTTAAACATTCGGGTCTAGTGTGAATCATATACCCACAAATATCACCAATGTTTTGGCAATGATTGTCAAGTTTTCATGCGTACATGTTGCAAGAGAGTCAACTTGATAACCTAATTGTGTTGTGAAGCATCGTAATTTTATATGTATATATTCATTTCTTTAAATTTTTGACACTGGGATAAAAAGGTAACAAGTTGCCAGAACGAAAAAGCAAAGGAAACTAGTAAATGACAAAAAAGAAAAGAAATTTTGCTCATGGACTTCTGTCATATACGGTAATTAATATCAGTCAATAGCTGAATTCAAATAAAAAGGTTTATGTATTTGTAAATCTTAGGAAGGAACATTTTATATCCATTCCTGAATGCATATTCAAACCTGTACCTTCTTTGAAAGCACTGTAATTGATTCTAGTCTTGCACTCCACCCACTTCAATCGAAAACGCTCATCATATTTGTCATTGGTTCGTTTCCATCCAAGATTGAGTAGTGGGGCCTCCACTCTGAAAGAAAAGTTTGTCTATCTTATTTACATTTCCATTGAATAGTGAAAACTTTGGCTGAAGGTGATCAATTTCAGGTGTCTTACAAAGGGACAACAGAATCTGTTGAGTTCAGAGATAATGGACAATAACCAAGGATTTGAAAATCACTTTAAATATTTTGGAGTCACCATTTGTGGTTTTGGATGCTGTGTCTTTTAAGTGATAAATCAAAATTCAGGATTTGTTTACATAGTAATAAACTATTGCATATTCACATTTGAAGTACCATAATAGAATAAATTAAGTTAAATTTGTGAAAGAAATAAAAGAAATCCAGGTTATTCATGCCATATTGCTCTGAAAGATACACAGTCATGCTTTTCACTTTATAAATCCTGATATTATTAAAATAAAAAAATAAGCACTTAAGAATAACTAACCATTGCAGTTTGCAGTTCCAACTATAGGCTTTTTAAGTTAGCTTTCCCCTTAATACTGCTTTTTTAAATGTTTCTTTTTTTTTTAAGAACCAATAAATACAGATTTCTGAACGGGCACAAAGATCAGCACCATATATTTTGTCTTTCTTCCAAATATAAAAAAAGAAATCTGCATAGTGCCCTTGATTGCTTCTTACAAAGAATATCTTTCTTGGAATCTCTAATACAGAATTTATCTGTCTTTTCCCCAATTTTACACTCTTTAAAAACTGAGCTTCCTATTAAAGTGCATACAGTACAGCCTTGTTAATCTGGACACTTTTTGTTGGGATAAATGAAGCATTCGGACTACTGAAAGGAATCTTTCATAATTATAGATATGTAAATTATGTTCCCCAAAATTTTTGTTTGGAAGTTGAAGCATCCCAATTCTGGACTATTGGCATTTGGATTTACAAAGTTCCACTGTATATCCCAGTCTCTTAATAGATTAACAAGGTTCCACTGTATATCCCAGTCTCTTAATAGATTAACAAGGTTCCACTGTATATCCCAGTCTCTTTATAGGAGACTTTTCTGGTATTAAAGAATATTAATTTTGATCCTATACCCACATCTAGATTTTGTACTCCCGGCAGTAACTTACAGAGACACCCCATTTCCTCCACCCACATAAAATGTTGGCTGCATGTTAACAGGGAGGCTACAGGCGGGGAGCCTGGTGGCGCGTACATGAGGTGACTTTTTCCCATTCTTGCTCTTTTCTTTTGATGTCTCCTCTTTAGTTTCCTTGGTGGCACCATCTTTAGTGGTGTCAGATTTGTCTTTAGTGGTATCAGGTTTATCTTTAGTGGTGGTGTCTGGTTTATCTTTAGTGGTGATGTCTGGTTTATCTTTAGTGGTGTCAGGTTTGGTTGGGTTCAGACCACTGTCATGTTTGACTGTCTGACTGTCGGTTTTTTCTGGGTTGGTTACCTCCGATTTACCAATGGTGGTCTCTTTCTTGGTGACATCAGCTTTACTTGCTACCTTGTCTGGTTCTGTACTGGTGGCCCCCTCAGTTTTGTTTTCTGATGTTGCATCTAAATACAGTGACATACACATAGTAAAGTAACAATGCTAAAAAAAATTGTAACACATATAAATTAAAAAGTAAACAACAAATTTAATCTTTGACTGGATTACTACAATTATGTGGTTAAAAAAAAAAAAAATAGACTGTGAATAGTAAATAGAATAAAGTAAGAGATTTTAGCTTAAATACTGGTATGTAGTACCCTAGCAGTATATGTCATACCAGAAAAGACCATGGATTTTGTATGCAGTGTTTGTGAAATCAGTAAATTATTAATTAATAGGCATTTCTTTGATTGCCTGGAAACCTACTCAAAAGGATTCATTGTTGTTAGAGCAGAAAAAATCAGAAAAATTAATTAATGAAAAAAGAATTTCCCCATAGCACGTAAACAGATAAAAGGTATGATGCGGAGTCAAGGAAACTAGCAAAACATTGCCACCCAGGATCACAACACGAACAATTGAATTTCCTTTGCAAAGTCTGTACAATAGATTTCACAGTATGAAACACATTATGAATCTATTTCTGCCTGTGTGAATGAATATATATACATTACTATTTTATGAATTAAATGGATTTTAAACTTGTTTTCTGATGCAGAGACAAGTATTTCCTGCATTACATACTACTTGATAGAATTCTGTGGGGAGGGCTTTTGTCAGAGATCAGAATGAACTACTTGGAATGTGAATAGCACGGGTTTTTGATGAGACCTGATAAAACAAAGCATGTTCTATTACAAATCCAATCAATTATATATATATCTGTAATTGATTTTACCTACAGTGACAGGAGACTTTCCTGTTAACAAGTACAGCTATGATACAGCTAGGAAGTACAATTCTTTGATTACAGAGTGTAACAGAGTGTAAACAGTGATGTAATTTAAGAAGGACAATGCTTTAACAGGTTGCAAAAAATCAATTTTCTGTTCAATAATTTAAATGAATGTAAACATAAATTCAATGCCTTTTCTATTACTCTGTTGCTACTAGTCTTCCTTCATCATTTATGTGTAAAACTCTAGACTTTGGTACCATATATATTTTTCTACAAAAGTGCAATTTAAGCAAAAGAACTCCTTGCAATGTCATTTCAACAAATTTAATGTCATAAATATGATTTGCTAGAAAAATGTTACAGTATGTTGTTTTAAGAAAAGGAAGAATTAAGGGAGGGGTGATGGACATTTTAGTTGTCAATGAAATTGAATGCATAATGACCAATGTAAGTCTTAACATTGCTTTACGCCATGATCAAATATCAGTATTTGGGGTACTTTATCACAGCATGTACAATATCTAGCAGTACTTCAGATCTGACCTATATACCCATAGTAAATTATTCATCACACATATCAACCCATTCATTTTCCTTCTTTATTCATGTGCTGTCTGTATGTAATCTTAATTTTTACCAGGTAACTGCATTTCATGCTGTAAAATAATGATGCAGTATTGTACACAGCTTAGGGTTTTATATGTTATTGTGGGACAAATTGGCTTATTTCAAACCAGGTAATATATAGGTAAGTATTAAAACACACACATCCTCAAAGAAAAAAGGACACAATATACATATACAAGAAGAAAAAAAAAACATCCTCCCTGGATCTATGGGGATACCCAATTTGCAATTTTGTTATACAGTACAATACAGTTACAGTGAATATGCTTATAATGAATTCACACTAACAAAAAAGTGATTAAAAAAAAAAAATGAAATTATTGGATATAATTAATGCATTACATTTATTGAATCAAAATTGTTCATCCCAGGTTATATGCTATAAGCATGTTTTACTGTAAATGGTTTTCTTAGCCAATTCAGATATAACATGTCCATAGCTTTCTCCACGGGCACGAAATAATGTAGATTTGTTTTATATACTAGCTGAGATTGTCCAAGAAATAGAACTTAATTCTGATAATAATTGAATCTTGGCATTATAAACTTGATGATACTTCATATGTCAAGAAAATTGGTGAAGAATTGATTGTTAATATTGTTTAAGGTCAAAAACAAAACCTAAATCTTAGCATAAAACATTATTGAAATAACTGAGCATTAGAAAAATAAATTAATTTATCAAAGTTGATAAGTTTGTATGACTGATTTATCATATCAATTAAAGTCTCCAGATTTGACCTCAATGACCATGGAAATGAAGACAGTCTTCTTTCACTTGTCAAAGAAAATCACACACTTCCTCTCAGACAAAGAGTAACCATGTCTCCAGCATATAGAAAAGATTTAATTTTAAACCATTCCGATCTTCCATAAAATCCATCAGTATTTACAATGCAAACTTCCCAGAGTGACTTGTAAACCTTAAATGTCAATCAATCAGCCAAATATCTTACCCTTGGTGTCCGGATTTTGCATGTTCTGAGAATTTTCCTGTTATCTGTGTTCAACCTAAGGTAGCATATCTTTCCATTTGTTCACTCCACATATATATTTTATAAAATATCCATAGCAGGCATATGATGGGGCAGCTCTATCCCCCCTCATAAACAAGGTGATTCTTTATCTACACAGAGTAGGCTTTCAATACAGTAGTGCTGGCCAGAGTTCTATCGAGTTTCTATACACAATGCCACTACCATTGGAAACAAGATTTAGCTCGTTACAACTCTAAAGGCCCAATTTAAAGTGCCAGAGACATTTAAAAACCCTCAGCCATATTGATCTGTGTTATTGGGGTGAACGGTTTTCATGTGCTAATTCTATTTAAATCAATATTTAGAAACGGAAAAGATTTTATTTAAATATGTTAAAGATCCATGACAATTAAAACTATAATGATACAGCACAGTGTTTTTAGTCGAGACACCACGAACAGGATTATACCCAGCTCGAAGCCCCCTAATGTCACCCTAATTCATTATAATCTCTAAGATAACGTACAACAAACACTCATACATTGGTTCAACCAACAGTTGGAAGCAACAATCCCCAAATTAAAATTTCAAGAAGGTAGAATATTTTCACCTTCCTAAATGCTTAAACCCATAATTGATTATCGAGTTTTTCCATTAATCCTACATTTACTACAAGTTAAAGCATATCAGATTTTTAAATCTTCAAGATTAAAAAACCATGCACACAGATCAGTAAATAGCCAGTCTAAATTCTAAACAACATTAGGACTACTGCTTGTTCAGCATGCCTCATTTAAAGTGACACATTCATTTACCCCGAATTGGGGATATTTTTAATCTACCCAGAGGGCTATTAATGGGAACTCTTTTATTAGAGAGATTAATTTGGTAGATATTCTGTCTACATTAATTACTAACCTTAATACTAATCTCTGAGAATTATATATATTTAATCAATCAAAGAAGTATAATTTACTTTACACTAGCATTAGCCATCAAGTACCTTTTTCGGAACATTTGGTATACTAGACATTAGGCATTCACTAGTATGGTTGTACCAAGCAACCCATTCATTAGTGCTTCAATATGTCTAACAGAGCAGTACGTCTTCATGAACCCCTATAATGAATCTCAAGCAAAAACTTTTCCATATTAGGCCTAAGTTAGTTTCAAAGGCAATCATAGCAGATTCTAGGCAGAACAATGAACAGAAATATTCCTATTTTATTTATTTCATATACAATAAAAACAGTAATCTACAAACATGATTCTGGTCTTTCAGTGACTCTACTGTAGAGAAGATAGTTATTGTGATTTGGTAATCTCTCTCTCTCTTTCTCTGTATATATATATAGTAGGATCTTAAATGGTTTGTGGTTGGATATGATTTTTATCTAACAGGGGATAGAAAACACAACAGTAATGGGTATAAAAATTCCAAACCACAAACCATGGTAGATTCTTTTCATCATGTGTAATACACATACATGTAGTTATATCATACATTTTTACACTGTTATAATATATTAATTTTCATTTAGGGTATATCCTAATTAAATATGAATTTCACTCAAAGACCACTGTGACATCACAACTGTGGAATATCAAAAAAATATAATAAGGGTGATATCCATCGATATCAGATATACAGAGAAACGTGTGATAAATTGCAATGTTATATAAGAAGATTGTTTTTGTTGTTTTCATTGGCTGATAGGACATCACATGATATTCGTCCTTTTGTGATATTGATGCAAAAGTGCGTCCACGGAATATGATATTGCACCATTCACCGTTCGCCTGCACCGAAGTTAATTACTGTATACAGTAGAATATGACCATAATATAAGAAGCATGTTTTTACCATTGTAATTTAATAACAGTCAAGTCTGTTCAGTTAGGACTGTATATAATAATACATGTATGATTATTCACTTTGAGTGATTATGTAATATACATTTATTGCATGAAGGTGGGGGAAATATGAAGAATTATTTAGCCAAGGGCGAAGCCCTCAGGAAATATGATTTTACTTGGCTGAATGTTTCCCGAACTTTCATGCAATAAATTGTTTATTATACCAAAACAAGCAAAGCATTTAAAAATACACATAAACTTTCAAATTCGGCACCGCTTTAAAATTCGCTTTCAGTTTTAAAGTAGAATTACTGAAACACTTTACTGAAATCTCTTGGACACTTCTCATTCCAATTTCTTTGTTTTGTTTTTTAAGCATCCCTATTAAAAAGATGACTGACAATTTCGTCATTGCTTAAGAGATGAAACATTCAGCACATGTGACGTCTGCTGCTCTCAGAAGTTTTCGTTCAATGAACGATAAGTATCGCAGGAAAATGCACGAGGTATCCGAAAAGATTGAATATGATGAAAAGCATGACAACAACAGGGAAATATGAAGTTTTATGGCCCTGTCACATGATACTCTAGAACCAATCAGATAACGTGTTTTACAGAATAATCATAATGAGGTATAATGATATAACTATTATGGACTTCAGTGAATGGTCAATATGTGGTTCTAAGGACCCATGTTTATGATTTTTATCCATATTGCAGGGCTTTATGTCAGCAAGATTTCTCATTATTGCCAAGCTATTTA